TCTTACGAGGGGGGGGGTCAAATTTACCCAAAAAATGTCTTACGTAATTTATGGACAGCCCCTAATGGCCCTTAGATTACGTCAACATTTATGTCAACTGCAGGTAAAAAGGGGCCCAATAATACTTTTGACACTGAGAAATAAGAATGATCAAACTTACTATAAGGAGTGTCAAACTTGAAAAAGTTAACACTATAATCACTTCCGTAAAGTAGAATTCTCTATTAGTTATCTTTTTTAATATCTCCTGTTATAATTTACTCTAACTTATATTACTATGCCATCATATTAAGATCACATGATTTTAAAAATTAAAATAAATATTAAAAATAGTTAGGGGGTTGGCGCGCAAAGCGCGCAGGGGGGCGAAGCCCCCCTAGTATATATATATATATATATATATATATATTTTTTTTTAGTGATGCCGAACGACTAAACGATGAAGTACGGAATTACACGAACGACAAACGACGAAACGACAGCGAATATCTTAATATTATAATAATATAGGAGAGGAGATAAGAGTCGTGAAATCATGGTACATTTTGCGTCCTGGTGAGCGTTAATGGGTTAATTTCAGATGTGAATATACTATTATTTTATGAAAAACAAATAGTGTTAATAAATATTTGTCTTCAAGAATTGACTTTCAAAAAAATATTTTTTATTTTGTGTTTCTCACAAAACAGAATTTATGCAAGTCTCTGTTTTTAGTAAAATAGCATGTCTCACAAGTCGTGAAAAATTTCACCATGTGGTATATAAGAACAATTCGATACGTACTTTTAAGTGTTAAGTGTGTGTTTATATTTAAGTTATACGCGAATATATGTGTGTGTTATAGGTTAGTTCATAAGTGTTGATAAACGTCGAAAAGTGATACAATAATTGTTGTTTGTTTGTGTGATTAATTATTCAAATATGTGAATGAATGAGAGAATTTTAGAAAAACTGTGAGAACAAGTGGAAATTTTTTTTTTATTTTATAGAAATATACAATTTTTTTGAAAGTCAATGAAATTCTCAAGCAAGGTACTAAAAATTTTCATTGACTGCTTTTGAAACTTTCATGCAAAAGTACTAGACTGTTTCTAGTATTTTGTATCGTATCCAAAAGTTAAGCACCGAATCAATGAAAATTTCACGTACTTTTTTCCATGTAGTAGAACTCTTGGTTGGTTGGTTTTGGTTGGTTTTGTTTTTGGCCTTAACTCCTGGAAGGTCCAATAGCCATGACTTTAGTAGAACTCTTAAAATGCCTAAATATCAAATAACAGAATTTGCATTTGTCTGAACAAACATCCGGCAGAAAGGTTTCAGCTCCAATTTTAAAATTGACCAATCGGAAGTTATCAAAAAAACTGGTTAGTATTATATCCAATAAAATTTTGACTAATAAATAATATTCTAACAAATAATTTATATGAGATACCTACATTTTTTTACAAAATTGAATATTACACGATAAAAGGAAAATCATAATTTAAGATCAGTCTTACATTCTGCACTATCTGCTTTTAGATGTAAAATCCTTCAAAATTCATCATGTAAATTCAGCATTGATCCTAAAAATGTTGCATTTCAATTTAAGACTTCTCTCTGCCTTTAAAACAGAATTCCTTAGGGGAGACCGAAGTGAGTTGAAACGATTTTTACATTATCCAGTATAACTCAGCCAAAAATTGTTCTATTTTTATGAGCTTTGTATTTTTGGATAGGTAATTTTATGTAGTATGTGAATTAAAAATGAAAAATTTAAAAAGTTGTAAGGGTTTAGAAAAAAATTGCAAAATCTAAAACTGTTCCCAGTGTTACAACTCACCTAGTACCAAGGTGAGTTGTAACACATGTCGACATTAGTTGTAACAGTTGGAAATTTTGTGACTTTAATGAAAAAATTCATTTTTAATGCTTAGTTTAGTTAGTAAAGTAAATGTAATTACATAGTGAGTAAAGACATCTTATTAATAGAAACAAATAAAATACTCGTTTTAGTACCTTAATTTACTTTTGGAATTATGTTATCAACATATTTCGACACATTATATTTTTGTTATTCTAATATTTACCTTAATAACTGTTGGATATCCTAGTTTCATGAAATGGTTTTGTTTTTTTTGTGTCAGTCTTAAAATATAAAATAAAAAAATAATTATTTGAACCGAAGCACAATTTTTCGCACCTACTAAAAAAAATAGGCGAGTTGTAACAGGCTGTTTTTTAACTCACCTAGGTTTACGCCAATTTGTGCTTGATCGAATAGAGACTGTTTGGATTTTTGCTGAAGTATATTGTTTTATATTTTGGCTTTAAAAGTATTTAGAATTTTACAAATTTTCGTGTAAATCACTTTTATATTTTCCAAAGGAAAAAAATATTAATAACAACATTTTTCGAGTTGCTCTTTCATAAACAATAGTCAAAAATAATTTCTATTTATAGGTTTTTTTGTTATTATTTGTTATTATTGAGTTAATTTTTAATTTAGTTTTCGGTTTAATTTGATTTATATTGATCTCATAAATTTTTTTACTCTAATTACTCCTTCATTATTTAAAAATTCGCAAACAAAATTTTATTATTCTTAAATTTCTATAAAATATATTTTATAATATTATTTTTCGCTATTATATAAAGCTCAAATTGTTACAATAGATCGTAATTAAATACCAAAGATTGGTTTAAAATATCTAATTAGTGTTAAAGAAAACGAAATATAGCCACTGTCATACAGAACAATAATAATCAATTTGATTTTTTTGATTTAGACAACGCCAACGGATGTTATCACCTGCACCAGCCTCCTACTTCGTTCTTTTATATAAACATTAACTGTAAATATCTATAACAATATCAAGTTTAAAATAGTAAAATAGTGATTTCCCTTCTGAGTGCCCAAGGTGTCCCTTCTTGTTATATTGATTTAATGATAGAACGTCAAAGTAGACAAACGCTTTTTGGTATATATGTCGTGGCCACTTAGACGAATCCGACATTAAGCTAAGTGTCCAGACAGTTAGCTAACTGCTGACAGTTAGACGAATACACGTCGATATCGTCTATTTGTCTAAGCAGTAAGCTAAATGTCCGACACTTAGCTTACTGTCCACCGCCATTTGGACATTTAGAGTAAAATAGCTAAATGAATAAATTCATTTTATTTATACCAAAATAATTTATTTAATGCGGCCAATAAAAAACAAATTTTACATTTATTATTAGTCAGCTTAATATATACCGCCATTTCGTCATTTAAAGTCAAATATTTCTCAATGAAAAAAAAAATTAATTATTGTGATAACAAAAAAAATTAACAAATTATTTATTTTTGCACGGATTGGCATAATGGCATTGAAATAATTATTTTATAATTACTATATTTAATGTAAATTATTTTTTAATAGCAGCTCAATCGAGTACATAGGTGGACAAGGTTACAAAAAATGTAACTGCAAAGCGACAAAAGAACAGTGCTGTACTAAACGCTGTTCTTGCTTTAAAGCAAATATTATATGTGGTTCTCGATGCCACCATGCCAATCCGTGCAAAAATAAATAATTTGTTGATTTTTTTTGTTATCACAATAAATAATTTTTTTTTCATTGAGAAATATTTTACTTTAAATGACGAAATGGCGGTGGATATTAAGCTGACTAATAATAAATGTAAAATTTGTTTTTTTATTGGCCGCATTAAATAAATTATTTTGGTATAGATGAAATGAATTTATTCATTTAGCTGTTTTACTCTAAATGTTAATAATTTAATTTATTAAAAAAATTATAACTATTTGTTAATAATAAAAGCTTATTAACAAAATAACAAAAGGCGTCTGTCTATTATACTCTCAATTTTATAGCATCTGCGTTTGAACTTATTTGAATGCATAGTTTATAATAACAAAAGCACGTGCTATTGATTCAACAGCATATATTGCATCGTCTAAAATATAAAACATCTATATTTAATATGCTATTCAACCAATAGTTTTTTTCTCAGTGTATCTTGGACTTATTGTAAAACTATTATTATTTATAAGAGTAGAGATGATTCTATCACTCAGTCGTATTTTAATAAATAGTGAAAATTAACGATCACTCCGAGTCAAGGAAAATAAAAATAAAAGAAATTCAATTCTTTTTACGTTTCGGCAGCACAGCTGTCCTCTTTAGAACGAAAAAAAGAAAATTAGAAAAATTAAAATTATAAATTAAGATAGGTACATCTTTGTAAAAAAGATCTTTGTTTTTGTTAATAACTAGCACAAATAACGCGCTCTAAAGCGCGCGTGAAGTTTCTTATTTTACTTTTAACATATATAACAATAATGTAATTTTTACATTACATGTCACATGAGAATAAGACTTAAATTTTTATTCAGTTAAACATGTTATATTTTAAGGTTGACTATTGTTCATAGAAAAGCGTGATTGCCAATGAGACGAAAATGGAAGATATGTTTATTACAGTATTTGTTTGAGAAAATAGGCCTTTTATTAATAAAGTGGGAAACTTAGATTAAACTATGTTGTCGCGAGCAACCTAAGGGGTTGCTTAATAGGGGGGACAGCCCCGTGTAAAAAGGTTAAGCAGAAACAAAAAATTGAATGTTGAATTCTTTACAAGAAAAGTAGAAAATTACAACGAAAGAATACTCGAACTACAATAAACGTTAGCGAAACAAAATGGTCGATAGATTATCAGCACTAAGCGCGCTTGGGCGACCTGCTCTTGTGAGGCACGAGGAAAAAACTGAGGGAAAACTCCGATCAGAGCCCCTCAAGCAGGCCCGAAGAGTGCGAAGGAAGGGGAAAAAGAACTGCCACGCCGGGCCCCCCGGGGTCAGACCGGCGCCAGGCTTTCCGACAGCCGGGCGCCTGGCATACTCATAGAAACCCAAACATTTCCGCCCGCCTCGTCTGCAGGACGAAAAAAAAATACTTGTTGTTAGTTACACATCCTTATCTTCAGTTAGGAGACGGTATTGGGCTAAGTCGTACGATAGAGCGACGATATGTGCCGTGGTTTGTCTTGACCGTGGCCACTCGGACTCTTCCATCCGATCCTGGATGAACTTCGATGACCTTCCCTAGGGGCCACTTGGTTGGAGGATACCGATCGTCTCGGATTAGCACTAATTGTCCAACTGAGAGATTTTCCGAGGTTTGCTGCCATTTTCCTCGAGCTTGTAATGATTGAAGATACTCGCTGGACCACTTTTTCCAAAAATGGTTTCTGATTTTTTGTAGGAGTTGATGACGGTTCAGTCGATTTTCTGGTATATTCGGTGGTTCTTCATCAGTGAGCATCGACAATGTACTTCCGATGAGGAAGTGCGCTGGCGTTAAGGCGTTGAGTTCTTCTGGATCCGTAGACATGGCGCACAGGGGTCTGGAGTTTAAGCAGGCCTCAATCTCGACTAGGAGAGTGCTGAATTCTTCAAAGGTAAATTTGCGAGAGAACATCATTCTAGTTAGATGGTGTTTTGCTGACTTCACCCCGGCCTCCCATAGTCCGCCGAAGTGAGGTGAATTTGGAGGGATGAAACGCCATTCGGTTCCATCATTTGCTAGTGTGGCTGCGGTTTCGGAATAAAAGGCAGATCCTCTTTTAAACATGGATCGCAGCTCTCTGTCGGCTCCTTGGAAAGTCGTTCCGTTGTCGCTGAAGATTTGTCGACACAAACCTCTTCTTCCTGTAAATCTGCGAAAGGCAGCCATGAAGGATGCGGTCGTCATGTCGCTTACTGCTTCTAGATGAATCGCCTTCGTTGCGAAACAGATAAATATGACGATGTAACCTTTGTAGGATTTAAAGCCTCGTCCCTTGGTGGTCCGCAAGTGAAATGGCCCAGCGTAATCGAGGCCCGAGTTTGTGAACGGTCGGGCTGGCTCGATTCTGGGGGGTGGAAGATCCCCCATCAATTGTGTCGGGAAGCGAGGTTTTACTCGGTGACATAGCGCGCACTTGCGAACTAGTTTGCGAACCAGTGAGGATGCACCAATCACCCACACTAAGTTTCTAAGAATGCTCAGTGTCAACTTTGGTCCTCCGTGGCATGAAACTTTATGCGCTAAGTCTACATAAAGAGGGGCTAGAGGTGAGTCTTTTGGCAGGATTGGTGGATGTTTCTTTGAGAAAGCTAAGGAAGAGTGAGTTAAGCGTCCTCCAACGCGAAGCACGCCCTCTTCGTCGAGAAAAGGATTGAGATTTCGGATAACACTACTTTTGGGAACGCATTTTTCCCTTCTGAGTGTAGCTATATCCTCTGCAAAAGCTCTTGTTTGTGCTATTACTAGGACCTTACTTTTGGATGATGCCAATTCTGCGACTGAGAGAGAAGTATCCTCTGGCGAGTCTTTCAATCCATTTCCTTTGAAAATTCTGCAGATTCGGAGACAGTAAGCTACCACTCGAAACAGTCTCTTTAGAGAGGAGAATCTTGAAAGTATTTCGTCGTCGACTTCTGGTCGAACTGCGAGGAATGATTGAATCTCGGTGCTCTCGATTTCAGACTCTTGGGATTGAGAAGGCCATTTGTCGAGTGGTAGGGACAGCCACTGTGGACCGTTCCACCAGAGACGGCTGTCATGGAGGGTTTCTGGGCTAATACCTCTTGTGGCTAGATCTGCCGGATTGTCGTGACTAGACACGTGTCGCCAAACTGCCGAAGGGAGTTCGGTTTGAATATATGAAACACGGTTAGCCACGAAAGTCTTCCATCTTGATGGATGCTGATTTAGCCAGGCAAGTGTTACTTGACTGTCGCACCAAGCTGTTACTGTCGCGTTCTTAAGGTGAGTCAACCTTCTGACGTACCGTAATAATCTCGTTAGGAGAACAGCTCCGCAAAGTTCTAGGTTAGGTATAGAAACAGTTTTTATTGGACTGACTTTGGACTTAGCTGCGAGGAGAGTAACCTGGGCGATTCCCTGGTACTTAATGACTCTCAAGTATACTGCGGCAGCATAGGCTCGTGAGGATGCGTCGGAGAAGCCGTGAAGTTCGAACTGAGAGTTTGAGAATGTTCTCAGCCAGCGTGGGATCTTAACGTTTGATAGTGTGGTTAGAGATTCGTAATAGTGCGTCCAGCGCTTCTGTATGTTGGTTGGGAGTTCAGCATCCCAATCAACTCTTAGAATCCAAATGTCTTGGAGCATGATTTTGGCAGCAACTGTAATTGGGGACAGCCAACCTAAGGGGTCGTACAATTTGGCGATGCAAGAAGCAATCGTTCTTTTCGAGATATTTTCAGGAATAAACGTTTCTTGAACGAACTTGAACTCGAAGTGGTCAGCATTCGAGTTCCAAAGAATCCCCAACGTCTTGAAAATTGAAAGCTGGTCGATAGTCTTACATGACGGTGATTCACAAGAAAAGGGGAGGAGTTCAGGGTGATTCGTTGCCCATTTATCCAATTTGAGGTTGCCCTTTGCACATAAATTGATCACCTGGTTTCGTTTCTTTGCGGCTTGAAGGACGTCATCGCCACCGTCGAAGATGTCGTCTACGTATGTATTTTCTTGTAGGCATTCGGCTCCAAGGGGGAATAGAGCGCCTTCGTCGATTACTAGTTGTTTGAGCGTGCGGATGGCAAGGTACGGAGCGCATGCCGTACCGTATGTGACTGTGCAGAGTCTATATTCGTCGATTGGACTCTCAGGACTCGGTCGCCATAAAATTCGTTAAAGATCTCGATTATCTGGGTGAACGAGAATCTGCCGAAACATTTTCACTATGTCAGCAGTGAAAACGATTCGGTACCTTCGCCAGTTCAGAAGAATAAGGCCAATGTCTTTTTGTAATGCAGGTCCGGCATGCAGAAAATCATTCAGGCATAACTTTAGCGAAGTCAAACGAGATGCATTAAAGACCACTCGAAGTTTCCAATCTAGGTTATTTATTTGCTTAATCACTGCATGATGTGGAATGTACCAGGCTTTTGGATTGTTCAATTCGTCTTTTGGGATGAGTTCCATGTGTCCATCAGATTTGTATTTTTCCATGAAATCGAGGTATTCTTTAGCTAGCTTGTCGTCTAGATTAAATCGGCGTTCCGTTGCGTACAAGCTGCGTAAAGCTAGGTTGCGAGTCTCGGCTGCGGCGGCGGGAAGTTCAGTTTTCTTTGGAAGACAAACGAGATATTGTCCTAGAGGAGTGCGTTTATGTGTGTTGACAAAATGCGTTTCACAATATTCGTCGTCTGGCTTAGTCAGTTGATTGTTTGGCAAACTTTCCATTTCCCAGAAGCGTTGAAGCTGATCTTGAAGATCGTCTACTGGCGTACAGTGCATTGCTGAAACCGTTCTTGACGTGGGTGACTCCGCCCGCCGTGCTGGCTCACTTTGGACAGGCCCTGAGATGACCCATCCCAACGCTGTCATTTGAGCTGTAGCTTGCGAGCCTTCGATCTGGTAAAGTCCAGGTAATAATAGTTGCCCATAGAAATCTGCCCCAATTATGAGTTGAACTGACCCTGGCTGGTAATAGTATGGGTCAGCCAATGAATCCTCTCCGAGGCAACCCAGGTCGATTTCAACTATACTTCGAGTTGGAAGTTTTGTCGTCAGTTTCTGGATCACATATGCCTGAAACTCGACATGAAAGTTGGGGTCGATCATGGATTTCAACGTCAGGATGGCAATTGTTTTCGTTTCTCCTACTTTGTGGTTTCCAAGTCCGAGAATAGTAACGTTTGCTGGATAGCATTGTAGTCCTAATTTACTGACTATTTCTTGTGAGATGAAAGATACTTCAGATCCTTGGTCCAGCATTGCCCGAGCTTTCATTTTTCCTTTTGGTCCTTCGAGAATCGCGCAAGCTGTCGCCAAAAGAATTGGCCTGGTTGTCTTGGAAACAGAAGTAGTATTGGCTTGCACAGACGTAGCAGAGCTAGGGGCAGAAGTTTGTGTTCTCTTCTCGTTGGTTTGATCATTGTTAGACTTATGAAGCAAGGTGTGATGATGCTGGGTGCACTCGAGGCAGCGACCTTTGGATTTACAGTCTCTGATTTGATGACTTCCTAGGCAATTGAAGCAGAGTTTGAGACGTCTCGCTTCGTTGCGACGTTCCAGCGAGCTCAAATTCTTGAAAGTCGGACAGCGACCTATATAATGCTCAGCAGAACATTTTGGACATTTCCGGTTTTGAGATCCACTCTTTGTGAGGTTGTGAAAAGTCTTCCTGACAGACTTCTGTCCGTGATTGGTTTTAGAGCTAGCTGGGGAGGGGATAGAAGTTGAAGTAGAGGTGGAGCACTGGGAGTCCGTCATATTAAGGGTAATGATTCGATCATCAATAAACCTCGCCAGTTCATCGAAGCTGGGGTATTGATCTGCTTCCAGGTTGTTCCTTTCCAGATTGGAGGATTGTGAACTTCGCGTGCTGAGTTGATCTTCCCATTGACGTCGTGAAGCGGGGTCCAACCGTTCTACTGTGTGATATACGAGCCAGTCACCAACTATATCCCTTCCGATGTTTTTCAACGAACGCACGGCTTGTCGTGTTTTGTCAATTAATGTCTTGAGGTCAGCTACAGATTCCTTTTGTATTTTAGGCAGTGCGTAAAGGGTGTTAAAATGCGTGTGCATGAGGAGGCGCACGTTGCAATATCTTCTTTTCAGGGATTCCCAAGTGGGTTTGTAGTTTGCTTCTTCCACCTTTACGTCCTTCACAAAGTCGGCAGCTTCTTCAGTCAGACACTGCTTTAGGTACTGCAATTTTACAACATTAGGAAGCGTTTGATACTCATCGATCATAGAGAGAAACAGGTCGGCGAAATTTCCCCAATCTTCGTATTTACGAGAAAATTGAGGTGGGGTAGCTTTCGGCAGTCGAAGTTTACTCGATAGTGGTCCAGATGGAGGCGGTTGAGAGGTTGGCACTGTTGTGAGATCGTGTAAAATTGAAGCTAATTCGTCGTTTTCGGCCTCGCATTCAATCTCCATTTGTTCGAATCGACTTTCAGCGACGTAAGGATCAGTTTCGCATTCTGGCATTCCCAAGATATCCACGTGTGCGTCATGGGCTTCCTTCCAATAAGTTTGTAATTGGTCTAGTCTGGATTGGAGAACGGGGATTGAAAGCGGCCTTTGTTGAGACGCCTCTTTTCTGCGCGCGATTGTTCTTCTTAAAGTTTCGAAACGGGCGGTCTGATGAGTCACTAATTTCTTAAGAGTTGGGGCCATCTTGTTGGAGAACAACGTTGATGATGTACGAAATAATGAGAGAGGAAACACAATTGTTTTCCTTGTCCCTCCCTTACACGTCCCAAAAATGACGCGTTGTATAAAAGGATAAGAAACCCTTATTTACCTTTTCTCTTATTTTTCCTTTGTGTGTTCCTTGGGCGGCGAAAGACAAGATACCCTTTTTTACTTTTGCTCTTCTCTTTCGACCTCCCAATAGCAAAAAAAATAAGATACCCTTTTTTGCTTTTGCCCTTATTAGTTTGCTATTTTGATAAGGACCACCAAGGAAGTCTTTTAAATTTTATCAGTGTTTTCAGGTACGATGTGTTTAGAGATAGGTTTCCCGGCCGATGCACCAAAAAATGTTTGAGAAAATAGGCCTTTTATTAATAAAATGGGAAACTTAGATTAAGGGGTTACCCCCACTTGCAACTTTGAAAAAATCGATTTTTCTTTTATTGCATTTTTTTGAAGCATAAGTAACTGAAAGTATGTCCTGAAAATTTCAAGTCAATTCCAACAAAATTGACTGAGATATGAGCTTTGAAAGAGACGAAAGAGACTGATATATACTGATTTGTATATACATATATGCATCGATAAAATGAATATCTTTTTTTTAATTACCACCATGACTTTTCAGCCTACTTCTGGAAACCAAACTATTACGTACTCCCACTTACCGGAGTTGATTCTATGTAACTTTACAAAAAAATTATTTTCTTCGTGGAAACTGAAATTGAAACTTTAAACGCGTTTTTCTCGAAATGGCATTTCTGAAGTCGGTGACCAAGATTACTCAAACACTAATGAACCGATCTTCTTGAAATTTTGCAGGCTTATTTAATACATAAAAATGTAGTCTTTAATCGTTCGATTTTCTTTTTCGAAAAAAAATGTCCGTTTTATAGCCAAAAAACGGACGTTTTTTTTCGTTAAAATCGAACTTTTAACTTAGACTGTCAGCCATTTTGTGAAAAATAAATATTTTTTTTTTTAAATCCTTCGATTAAAGACTAGTTTATACTCATATTTGACTAAATTTATCCACATTTTTTGATTCCGATGATTCACTTCGCCGCAATGTTGGTCACCGCAAACCGTATAAATAAAAATATTATTTCGTTGACGGCAGTTTGACACTTAACTATGTAATATTTTTTAACAAAAAAATTACTAAAAGTTCTTCAATATGTGTTCTTTAAGATGATATAGTTATAGATTAAAAAGGTTTTGTAGTTTTCTTTAAAAAAATTCATAAAAAAGGCTTATTTTTTGCGCTACAAGTGGGGGTAACCCCTTAAACCATGTTGTCGCGAGCAACCTAAGGGGTTGCTTAATAGGGGGGACAGCCCCGTGTAAAAAGGTTAAGCAGAAACAAAAAATTGAATGTTGAATTCTTTACAAGAAAAGTAGAAAATTACAACGAAAGAATACTCGAACTACAATAAACGTTAGCGAAACAAAATGGTCGATAGATTATCAGCACTAAGCGCGCTTGGGCGACCTGCTCTTGTGAGGCACGAGGAAAAAACTGAGGGAAAACTCCGATCAGAGCCCCTCAAGCAGGCCCGAAGAGTGCGAAGGAAGGGGAAAAAGAACTGCCACGCCGGGCCCCCCGGGGTCAGACCGGCGCCAGGCTTCCCGACAGCCGGGCGCCTGGCATACTCATAGAAACCCAAACAGTATTTTTGACTTATTAATTATCAAAAATAAATTACATTTAATTACAATTAATTACTTATTTGTTATTTTGTTTCTAATAGTTTTCTAGTCAAAATTAAATAATATTATTTTCATGTCATTAACATTAAAAAATTCCATTATTCAGAAGAATTCTACACAAAATCACTATTTTTCTAAATTTATTCAGGAAAATCAGAAAAAAGGCAGAGAATTTTGTCAAAGGTGCTGGAATAATATTCAATTTCAAGAATTCATAAGAAAATTCTGAATGTTATTCTTCAGCGTTGAAAAGATTTTATTTATTTCAAACTTTTCCTGTTTTTAACAATAATTAGATTTTACAGATTTAAAATTGATTTTTTTTAAATAATTTAATTATTGAAAAACTGTCAAGAAAAAATTTTTTTTTTATGAATTATTTTGGAATAATGTTTTATTTAAAAATTAAAGAAATAATTGAATTTTATGAAATTTGTATTTAAAATTGTTTCATTAAGTAATATAAATAAGTAGCAACTGTCACGCCCGCCAAATGAAGTATTTAATTTATTATTATTATAACTCAAAAGAAATAAAATTATCTTTACAAAATTTCAATAAAAAATTCTTCGAAAAATTTATGAAAAATTACAAAAATGTTATCTTTTTAAATTATTGTATATGTAACAGCTAAACAAACGCGCACTAAAGCGCGCGTGTAGTTTCTCTTAGTATCAATAGATAATTAATAATAATGCCTATAGGCTGCGTCTACAACAGAAAAAATAATGTGTAGAAAATTGTGTAATGTATAGTGTAATTGCCCCTGACAGTTGTCAATGCCAAAAACAACCCAAGTGCGAAAACCAACGCGGCCCAACACTGGCCCAGTATTGGCAAAGCTGGCATCGAGACTTGGCAGACAATATTGGCCCGACTTTGCGCCGACTCTTGTGGTGTTAACAGCGGTTGGACGTCGGCAGCCAGATCTCGGCAGACATTAATGGCCCAATATTGGCCGCCAGATCTCGGATGGCCCATTATTGGCAGCCAGATCTCAGCAGACATTAATGGCCCAATATTGGCTGCCATTACTCCCCCAGTGTTGACAAAATTAGAAAAAAATAAAAATAAATTTTTTTTTATTCAATTAACTAATTAATTTATAACTGGCCGATACTGTGCCATTGTTGGGCCGAGCTACGTCCCAATATTGGCAATTATAATTTGCCATCATAGATACAAAATGATAGACATTAACGTGCCATTATTGGGCCAAGCTACGCCCTCATACTGGCAATTATAATTTGCCATCAACGATACAAAATGTTTGCCATTCAAGTGCCAATAATGAGCCATTAATGAGCCGATCTTCGTCACATCACTGGCAATTGAATTTTGCCATTAAAGATTGATCAACTTTGCCATGAATGTGCCGTTATTGGGCCAAGCTACGCCCCAATTCTGGCAATTATATTTTGCCATTAAAGATACAACATTTTTGCCATTAAAGTGCCATTAATGTGCCTTTAATGGGCCAATCTTCGTCACATCATTGGCAATTGAATTTAAAAAAATTTTAATATCAAAATTCATGGCATATTTTTAATATTTAATTATTATCTAAAAATTTGACTAGAATCCATTTTGAAATCAATTTTACTAGAAAATTCTACGAGAATTTAATTATTTAAATGCAAAAATAAATAATTTATTGAATAACTAAATGTTTCTTAAAATTGAATTATGAGAATTAAATTTTAAAAAACATTCATTTATTCAATAAATTTTCTTAAGGAAATAATTTGCATCATTTTTATTTTTTAATTACAATTGCTTTAAGAAAAATTCAAAGATTTTTAAAAAATAATGGAAAAAAATGTTTATAAATTCTATTTGTCAATTGCAAATATTAATTGAAAGTGAAATTGAAATTTTCTTAATTTTTAGATAATAAAGGAAAAATTTTACTCAAAAAAAGTTTTCTGTTACATTTATTTACGAATTTCTTTAATTGTAAAATTATTTGAAAACATTAATAACTTCTTTTTTAAATTAATACTTCATTAAACTTTTTCAAAAAAATTAATTCTTTAAAATTGACAGTTGAAAATATAGAAAATTCAAAGTTTTAAATATTTAAATTTGAATCCTTTTCAAGCTTATTCAATTATTTAAATACAAAATAAATAATTTATTGAATAACTGAATGTTTCTTCAAATTAAATTCTTATAAAAAATTTTACCAAATTAAAATGCCATTAATGTACCTTTAATGGGCCGATCTTCGTCACATTACTGTCAATTGTCTTTTGCCATTAAAGATTGATCAACTTTGCCGTGAATGTGCCGTTATTGGGCCAAGCTTTGCCCCAATACTGGCAATTATAATTTGCCATCAAAGATACAAAATGTTTGCCATTAAAGTGTCACTAATGTACCATTAATGGTCCGATCTTCGTGACATCACTGGCAATTGAATTTTGCCATTAAAGATTAATCAACTTTGCCAATATTGTGCCGTTATTGAGCCAAGCTACTCCCCAATACTGGTAATTATAATTTGCCATGAAAGATACAAATTTTTTGCCATTAAAGTGCCAATAATGAGCCATTACTGGGCCGATGGTCGGCACATCACTGGCAATTGTCTTTTGCCATTAAACATTGATAAACTTTGCCATGAATGTGCCATTATTGGGCCGAGAGCTGGCCCAGTCTTAAAAAATTTGAAATTGTGACCATCGGCGCCATCATTGTCCCAGTAATGGGACGTTTTGGACACCAATAATGGCCCAGTAACTACTGCCAATTCTCGGCAGACATTACTGCACCAATGATGGGCCGTTTTCGCAGTCTTGGCATTTCGCACTTGGGAATACACATTACAATACAAATTACACATTATTTTTTTTATTTTAGACGCAGCCATAAACAATAAAAACGGGATTACACATGTGTAATCACAAAAATGAATTCAAATATTTAAAAAAAACAAAATTTTGTGCGAAAATTATGATTATAAAATAGAAATTATCAAATTATGTCTACTTTTTCGTTTAGTAAGAAAAATAAATTTCGTTAAAAATTAAAATTTACAAAATTTATCACTGCTTTGCTAACTTTGCATAAAATTATATAAGTGCCTTACTTGTGCCTTCAAAAAATAAATTAATTAAATAATAGAGTTGAAATTATCGATCACCCCGAGTCAGGTTGTTGACTCGAGGTGGAAAAATGAATTAGTTAAAGTTTTTTTAAATGTTACTTCAGTAATTTACGACAAATTCCTGTTAAAAATAACAAAAAAACTAAAAAAATTTGTGAGCAAA